GACAACAAAATATTGAAATCAAATGGACTGTAGGTAATGGTACTACAAAAGTATCTAATTTCAAGCAAACAAGGAAACTCATCAACTAGTAATGTGGAATTGATGAAAATCTTTAGATCATAACACGTTTATTTAGCAGGACACACAAACTGAACTGGGCACTAAAACTGTTTTCCTTATTGCTGCCATTAGATCTTTGGACATACCAAATTTGCATCCACTGATATATCAGGTAGCTAAAGTTTCCCATGCATACACCATTCATGAGATGTCAAGACTTTTAACATATTTGATATATGTATAACCAGCACGCCAAGCTATAAAAATACTCAGAAAATGAACCTTGACACTTCAGTGTTAGCAGATAAGACACCTATGGAATGAATATGAAACCCATATATGTCAAGTACTGATGAAATACTGACAACCAGGGCCTAGATTTTCGAAGCTCTCTTAGCGTTAAGATATTCGTAAGTCAATGTTATTGTATGGCACTTACGACTATCTTAGCGCTAAGAGAGCTTCGAAAATCTAGGCCCTGTAATTTTTCTCTGGTTAATCAAATCCTGCAATATCTTATATCAACCATTTTCAAACATTCTTAAGTAATGTACATGAAGAAATTAGTTTATCACTCAGAACGGACTTTACAAGAGATATTGCTTGGTTGAGATCAAACGATATTTTCCAGCAGACATCAACAATAGAATGCAATGCTAAGCAACGGCATGAATGGTATCCAAGTGAAGAATCTCACCCTTGTATCTTTTGATATCAAACATTACACTCATCATTACAAGTTGTTAAAAAAAAAACCTCAACAAGTCTCAGCTTTTTAAACTTTTATAAGCGTGATGATACATTTGCTATCAAAAGTGAATTAGTGAATTTAGTTTTACGCCGCTTTTAGCAATATACCAGCAATATAGTGGCAGGGGACACCAGAAATGGATTTCACACATTTTACCAATGTGGTGAGTGGAAGTCTTTAGCATGATATGAGCACTAACCACACTTTAACCACTAGACCATGCTAGACTGATACAGGCATCCCTCGCCATAACGTGGGACTTGGGGTCCATGGGTGACCCCCCGCGTTATTAGACACCCGCGTTATAGTAACGATTACATAACGCGGAACAAAGGCCAAGTAAAATCGTATTTTCCATGGACATAACAAAACTGCTATTTCGTGTATTGTGCCCAGTCAAAACTATATCGTATTGTTGGAGGTGAAAAAAAACTAAACTTTGTAAATGAAAATAGATGTAAGTACATGAAACTTGCAATCAAACATCACAAGACATGATAATTCAATTGTTGTTCCTGTCATGCTACCTGTTATTCAACTAAGCCGGAAATAGCAATCAGCTGGGCACAGATCGATTTTTATGGGAGCCACGCATTACCCCGCGGTTTAACTGAATCCGCGGTATCGCGAAGAGCGCGTTATTGCGAGGGATGACTGTACAACAATCCAAACTTGTTCAAACAGCAATATAATATTATTCAGGTCACTTTTAAAGAAAAGAACTCAATATTATAACTTCACATCTGTCAAACAACAAAAAATACATGATCTTACTTATATGAAGGAATAAAACATTGTTTCACCTGGATATCAGAAAACAAAAAGGACTAAGTTGAAACAAGTAATGGCTTGACCTACATAACAAATGGCTCCAACAATTAAATTTTTTTTTAGCTCTAACAGACCCCATGCCAAAACTGAACACAACCATCAAGTAAAAAGCAGTGAGGCAAATCATATTAGTAATAGTAAGCAGCTGGAGGGAGTGAGTGAGTGAGTGAATGAATGAGTTGGGTTTTACGCCGCTTCTAGCAATATTCAAGCAATATTACGGTGGGGGACACCACAAATGGGCATCACACATTTTACCCATGTGGGGAATCGAACCCAGGCGAACCCAGGCCCTTGTCATGACGACCGAATGCTACAACTACTAGGCTATCCCACTGCCCTGTAAGCAGCTGTAAAACGGGGTGATTAGGTAAGTAACTTAAGGGATGAAAACCTCATCACATTTTTGACAGAAGTTAGGAAACAAAATATTTCTAAATTATATTATATAAATTACTAAAACCTTAAAGGCACTTCCATAAAACAGGACATTACACTGGCCTGGCCAAATGAAGAATTGTGCATCATGATTATATATTGCTGATCAAGCGACTGTAACCACTGGACAAAGATGTGTGTATGTAATGGAGGAGGATGTGTGCAGAGAAGGAATCCAGCCATGTGGAATGAATGGTTACAGTTACGCAATTAGAGTGACATGGGACAAACAGTACATATAGAATGTCACTAATAGCCTAGTAATGAGTGAGTGTTTTACACCACTTTTAGCAATATTCCCGCAATATCACGAGGTGAATACCAGACATGGGTGTACCAGCATGATGAGCAAGAGCTTGTACCACTAGGCTACCTGACCGCCCCATCCTAGTAATGAGGATGAAGCCATATTTGGTAAAAGCTTTTGAAGTCAACATACCATGGAGAAGGCAATTCCATAACTCCTATACAGTTCTATACCAACATTCAATTTTAATTGTAGCAAGCAAAAAAATGTGAGCAAGGTTGTCTAATACACTCAACTATGACTCCCAACTTTAGCTGAATAATAATAATTAATAATGATTATTCTTAATAAAAATATGATCTGTATCAAAAATTGCACTGCACCTTTCCTATAAAAAAAGAAGCCATTACCCAACTTTGAAAGCAATCCATTCAATGAATGTAAAGTTATTGGTTAAAGAAATTTAAACGTGGGACTTTTCCTCCCGAGTTCAAGAGATCTAATTTGAGATAATTCTTGATAAATTAAAAATATCAAAATTCAACGTTGCAGTGCACCTCTCCTTTAGATATGGAATATGTTCCCCAAATTTGAAAACAAACCATTCAAACATGTTCAAAGTAATAGTTGAACAAATATTCCCCTGGAGTGTTTTTTTTCAGTTAAAAAAATGTGATTGTTTAAAAAAATTGAAAATCAGAATCAAACTTTGTACAGCATCTCCCATTTTGACAAAGAAGGTGCTCTCCAAACTAAAAAGCATTTTTACAAAAACCTTTCCAAAAAATAAATTGGGTAATTCTAAAAACAAATTAGAGTTAAATTTCATAATCAAAATTTGCACTGCGCCTCTCTGCACCAATAGTTTTCAAGTTTTTTGTTGAACAAACTTTTTCAAGTCTACTGACGGACGGAACTCCTTGGTAGAACTAAATGCCCCTGACCTCTTAAGGTTGGGGTACAAAAACTACAGTACAAATAAAGTATGGTGATCAGTCATAAATAAACCATTAATTTATTATTATTATTATATTACATACAGTCGGTCTGGTAGATTATCTGCTGCTATATGCTTTGAAAACATCCTACTCATATTATTGACAGGAAATACACATCACAGACATCATTGATGTGGTGAATGGTTGGTTTGTTGGACAAAGATGCCGACCCTAATTTAGCCCCATTAGTCTTTTGGCCAAAAGCTGATTAAAAAATTTGTATTTTATACTTTTTCAAAGAATTTCCATATTAAATAAAAAAAAAATAATAAAAAGTCTAAGACCTTGTTATTAACATTGTACTCACCTAAATCAGTAGCAAGTATCCACACATAGCTTGATACTGACTAAAATCTGATCGGAATTTATTGTGTATGGTAAGTACCGGTACGTTATTTGATAATCTAATTTAATGTATTTTTTTTAAATCATATATTTTTACTGCTATCGTAGTCGCGTATTTAGTGTGGTTTTTTTTCATAACGAATACTACAAAATTGTATGGGTTGGCACCTCTGCACAATCCAGTGACCGACAGCATGAGCATCAATCTACACATTTGGGATACGATATGTATCAACCAAGTTAGCGAGCCTAACCACACGATCCCGTTAGTCGCCTCTTACGACAAACATGGGTTACTGAAGACCAATTCTAACCTAGATCTTCACAGGTTGATGTGATGAGGAAACATTGGGAAAACATGACCACTGTAATGATACAAGGATACAGTTTGTACCATGATACTCAGATTCTGGCCTGATACATGATTTGACAATGGCACAGCCCACACAGTTTAAAAGCTATTCCAAATGTTTCTAATACAACATTTCGGAGAGACATGGTTAGTTTCTAAATCCCAAGACAAGTTATTCTAGATGTTTTTCTTCCAGTTCCAGCCATGTGACGATGTTTATACAAACCACAAGTCTATAAAGCAATGAACTGGTTGGAATATTACTACTCAGCGAGACTCATCACTGAGATTTAGAATGATAGGAATACTTAAGGATGTACAAAAATATTCCAGCAATATCGCAGCAGGGGACACCAGAGATGGGCTTCACACATTGTACCCATGTGGAAAATCAAACCTGGGTGTTGGGCATGACAAGCGAACACTTTAACCACTAGGCTACCCCACCACCCCTGATATGAAAGGAGCTACAAGAGACATTGGGTCTGGGCCACAGTTATTTTGGGCCATAATAATTCCAACATGCTAACAGTGATTCATGATAGCCTCAGTATTATTGACACTTATGGAATGTGGCACAAGAATCTGCAATTGTCTAAGAAATGGAGGCCATTTATTTAGTTCTAGGGTCAGTTCCCTGGGACCCTGGTAATGGGAAGCACTGCTGCGTGTGGGAAAATATTACAACTGACCATCCTCAGGGTGTAAGGGCACATTAATCTCAGATTAATCCCCCTGCACATGTCTGTGCCACTTGGGTGCAGGTTTAATAACCTCTGCTGTACTGAATACTGATAATGCTACATCAGACTGAATTCTTCGTCACAGCTGATCCTACTGAAAATATGCCCTAAACATCTGGTTACTTGAGAAGGTTGACCGACTTTGACGCCACTTATAACATTACTTCAATTTATACATCACAGCAAGTCAGTGACTACAGAAAATATGATGTTGGCCTTGGTGTTATTGCTTTGGTAAAATTCACAAGGCCATGCATGATGCTGACAAACTAGTGTTGGGAATTGGTTAAAATCTCATAATTGATGATTGGTTCACAATTGATGCACAAAAAAAACACCCAAAAAACCATGTAGTTCTTTGTTGTTGTTTTGCAAATTGCATCTTTAAAGAATGACTAGTATGCTAGGAACATACATTTCTTGGAGTATTTATGATAAATTCAATCTTGACTTGGAACAAGCTCATAGTGCTTATGAAATGCAAATGACACAGATAAAACCAACCTTGTGAAAAAATTTGCAAACAAGTGTTCCAGAATTGTTTGTGTTCGATTATGAGAAAACATGATTGATTGCTTGGTCGTTTAGTCACTGCGACCAATCTTCAATTATTTCAATTAATCAGCCCACCACTATGACAAACAGGGCAAATCTAAAATTTGAGACCATAATCATAGGATCCTAACATTCCTAAGGGACATAATTCCGCATGTCTTCATACACATATATATAGTATTATCTATGATCATCATAAACACAAGACAAAAGTTATAGTTATAACATGCATAAGTCATAAGATTATCCATCTATACATAAATTGAAAGGCAAAGTAGTGGTGAAAATTATATGACTGAACCACTGGAAATCATTGATGACAGGAAACAGGTAAGCATGCCCTACCCAACCAATAACATCTCCCACTCATACAGTTTGCATAGAAACATAAGTGTCTAGTTGCCGTACACCAGTACTCAAGGTCATTTAACCGCAGCCTTTAAAACCAGCCAATCAAGTGAACAGTGGACCACATATTCAAGTGACACACCTCTTCTGATTGAAACGAAAAACAATATGCTTAGGGACCATTCATAATTTATGGCTTTGGGGCTGGTGGGGTGGGGTGATGTGGTGCTGAATTTTTTTGGGGGTGTCACCCATTTTGTTCTGGGGAGGTCATCAATTTTGTACACATGTAAGGGGGTGGTAATGGAGGGGGGTTTGTACATGATTTTGTACATGACATGCATGGGGTGTTACCTACTTTATACATAAATTTTAAGAGGGGTTATTCACATTGTACATGCTTCTCCATGAAAATCATCGACCACCCCCCCTCCCCATCCTAGCCTAAAATTATGAACGGCCCCTTATTTGGAGTTACATTGACAGTGTACAAAGGTATAAGGCCTCCTTGAGTTGTTCACCTGTGGGTATTTTGAATACACAATGTCATTTAGAAAGTTGGCAAATGTCACATATGTTATCGTTGGGATTACACTTTGTCAGTAACGTACAAAATACCTTTGTTAGGTTGAGCCCCATTCGGGATTCGGAACCCACTCTCTCTCTGCGGGTGTTATGTCTTAAGGTGCATAGCTTCATCAACCACAGATGACAGATATATCGACATTAAGTTGATGATGTGAAGTAGGAGAATGTGGAATGTGTTCCAGCACAAGTAGATCCTGGACCAGACAAACCATCTTTGAGAACCATGACAGAATACAAACAGGTACCACACTGTACCACCCAATCCTATATCACACATGCATATAGTATGACAAGAGGAGTAAGCCAAGGTATGCATCGAACAATAACAGGAGTTCACAATACCAGATAATATTCTTGACCTATGATGACAAACCAGAGATCATTTCAGAGGATCCGTATATCCATTGATGGAGTTGACAAAAATCAAAACAAATTCTCAGACAACTCCTAAAAAGTCTTCTATTTCTTTTTGGTCTATCAAACCCACATGATATATTTCTGATGGCAAAATCCCCCATTTCATGGCCATAGAAGTTCCATTTTTGTACAAACATTTACATAGAATGTTATTTGAATGATGTTTGCTTCAATGAGATTGTCAAGCATGCATCGATGTCAAGTAAGCCATTATATGGTAACATAAGTTCTTCCTACAAATCACAGCCTGTAAAGTATCACTATATCATCCAACATCATTTCTTCTTGCTGTAGTAGGATTTCATCCTCTCTTTATTACACATGGCCGACGGTATGTCCAAACTAAAACTACTTGCAGGTTGGGAGGAGGGAAAGCTGAATGAGGCTGCACTTGTCTCTTCACATGTATCTACATCATCTATATCATCCATATCATTAATGATGGCCGACATGGAAGCAGATGTGGCAGCAGACGCAGAAGCAGACGTCGCAGTAGTCATGTGACTAGATTTGTAGAGTGAGTCCTGATGCACCGGAGTTGTGGTGGAATAAGATGCGTCAGATTGGGTTGATGTTTTTTCAAATTTACGTACATTTGGCTTTGCCTGTGGTGGAATCTTCTGGTAGCCATCTTGGCCAGACACCTGTGGTCTATTGTTGGCAGTCTGTCCTGGACCCATCTGTCCACCAGATGCATTCTGAGAATGGGTTGTCTTTGTTTGAGCATGTGCTGTGTAAATATTGCTACTTTCCTTCTTCCCTTCATCCCGTCCTAATTTGTAGTTACTGTTGTAGAAAGTTTGAAAGGTTTTCTCCTTCACATCGGTTCCTCCCTCATCATCAAATCCAAACTGAATACCATCAGAATTGTCACTTTTGAAACTTGTTCCTGAATTTGAACCTCCAAATTCCCAAGCTTTATCCTCCTTTCCACCATGTTCTGGGACTTTTCTACCCTTTCCTTTCACCTTGCCTCCCACAGTCCGATCAAACTGATCAAGCTTCCCTGCAGACCCTTCACCAATGTGAGAGGCTGTTCCTGTAGAAGCTCCTCTGTCTCCACCAACGGTACATCCAAATCCACTACTTCTAATACCCAGACCTCCTAGATTGGGCCTACTGCTGCTGTCCCCAAACTGAGGACTGGACATCTGGCCATCTTCCTGTCTCTTGGAGTTCTGGTTGATAGAGCTATGCCACAGAGTTCCAGAGCTTCTGCCACTCTCTCTGCCGGAACTCCCCCCACTGAAAATACTGTCATCACCATCAGATACATCATCCAGTGTGTTGATGTTTCCATGCCTGCGAAGATTGATACAGTTTAGAAGAGTAGCTACACTGTACATTCTTAAATGCTAATGTTTAGGATTGAATGGAGAAAGTTTTCCTGAAATAGTCAGGGGATATAACATGTGAGCTTGGGAAAGTTGCTGTTATTCTTAAACATTTTTATCAATCACAGATACAAGGGAGTATTGTCATCTTGAACTGATAAAGAGAAGCACGGGCCAGCTATCACTAATCCTAGCTAAACACTATCTGCCTACAGCTAAACCAAGAGAAACACTATCCAACTGCCACCAATTCAAGGAAACACTATCCAACTACAACTAATTCAAGGAAACACTATCCAACTGCAACCAATTCAAGGAAACACTATCCAACTACCACTAATTCAAGGAAACACTATCCAACTGCAACCAATTCAAGGAAACACTATCCAACTACAACTAATTCAAGGAAACACTATCCAACTGCAACCAATTCAAGGAAACACTATCCAACTGCAACCAATTCAAGGACACACTATCCAACTACCACTAATTCAAGGAAACACTATCAAACTGCAACCAATCAAAGGAAACACTATCCAACTGCAACCAATTCAAGGAAACACTATCCAACTGCAACCAATTCAAGGAAACACTATCCAACTGCAACCAATTCAAGGAAACACTATCCAACTGCAACTAATTCAAGGAAACACTATCCAACTGCAACCAATTCAAGGAAACACTATCCAACTGCAACCAATTCAAGGAAACACTATCCAACTGCAAAAGGAAACAATTCAAGGAAACACTATCCAACTGCAACCAAGTCAAGGAAACACTATCCAACTGCAACCAATTCAAAGAAACACTATCCAACTGCAACCAATTCAAGGAAACACTATCCAACAACCACTAATTCAAGGAAACACTATCCAACTGCAACCAATTCAAGGAAACACTATCCAACTACATCAAATTCAAGGAAATACTATCCAACTACCACTAATTCAAGGAAACACTATCCAACTGCAACCAATTCAAGGAAACACTATCCAACTGCAACCAATTCAAGGAAACACTATCTTACTATCACTAATTCAAGGAAACACTATCTTACTATCACTAATTCAAGGAAACACTATCAAACTACAGTTGCTACAACTAATCCCAGGGAACCACTATTTAATGACAACTAATCCAAGGGAAATGCCTTCTAACTACAACTAATCTGAAGGAAACACAATAAACTACTTCTATTCCAAGGGAAAAACTATCCACCTACAACTAATTTAAAGAAAAACATTACCCAGACAATTAATAATCCAGAAAAAGGACAGCCAGAGCAATAGATACACAGAGACTTCCACCCGATCGCCTGACACTCACCACTTTGCCGTTTGACTCTGCTTCAAGGCTGCATGCAACATGGCTTGCTCCTCCGCTTCTGTTTGAGGCATCACACCTGGAGGACAGAATCACGTTGAACAGAAACATTCCAAATAAGTCGCAAAATTGAGTTTCATTGATATAGAATTCATACATAGAAATCATCAATGGTGCTTCTTTTGCAGATTCCTATATCATGAAGTAACACATCTTAAAACTCAGCTAGGCCATTTCATGTTTTACAGACGAGTACTACCACCAACCAAGCAAAAGAAAACATAAAAGACGAACGACTGATTTTTCTTTTGTAATGTACTCATATTTCAAAAATATTGTTAAGGAAAATGAAACAAGAACATGTAATACCAAAATCTTAAAACTGATATCTTTTGTTCAGTTCAAAGTTAATGATTATTTTGCTATCAAACTTGAGTGCCATTATTCTGGCACACTGTAAAGAAATATATTTGGACAGGCCTTGCACTTATAAGAAAGAAGACCCGTGAAGATCCAGGGTAGAATAGGTCTACAGCAACCCATGCTTGCCACAAAAAGGCGACTGCTTGTTGTAAGAATTGACTAACAGTATCGGGTGGTCAGGCTCGCTGACTTGGTTGACACATGTCATCGGTTCCCAAATGCGTAGATCGATGCTCATGCTGTTGATCACTGGATTGCCTGGTCCAATCTCGATTATTTACAGACCGTCGCCATATAATAATAATAATAATAGTGCCTATTTATAGTGCGCACAAATCCACGCTCGTAAGCATGCTCATGTCGCTACAATTAATATAGCTGGAATATTGCCGAGTGCAGCGTAAAACTAAACTCACTCACTCACTCACTTTAAGAATGAAAGTAAGTGAGTGAATGTGGTTTTACACTGTGACGATAACACTGCTGGGACCCCAGAAATGGACGTCACACATTGTCCCCATGCGGGAATTAGAACCGAGGTTTTGGTCATTATGAGGAAACCCTTAACCACTAGGCTATCCCACCGCCCCTTAAACCACCAGTAGCAACCTGTCAGAAGCATAGTCTGTTCCCACGTTATGTTCAAAACACTACATTCTTCTGCCATGTACAATTAAAGATAATGGGTCAGGTGCCCTTCAGCTTCTCAGCAGGTGCCCTTCAGCCTCTCAGCAGGTGACTGGAACAACTTTAAGGTCTAAATGAGGATAGCATTATTTAATCTCCTAAATACATAATATTTCTTTACCTACATGACATCTTTTTTATGTGTGTTAGTGAGAGCATGTGAAATGAATTTCTTTCGGGAAGATTTACAGTTTAAAAAGTTAACAGTAATAAAATTCCTGACACATTTCTGATTATAGCAATACAGTATCCTTTTCAGACAAGTGCTTGTGTTTTGTTTACACAACGACAGTAATTGACCCCCACAAGGACAAGTATCCCTGCAGTGTCTCAACTTTGATGGGGTGAAGAAATGATGGCTTAGGAATGAAAGTACACAAGACAAAAGCTGGAGACACGCTGACAGAGACATATACTCAATCAGCAACAGGAACCAATTATGCAGGTGCACCAATCAAAACTGTCTGTGTGATCACATGACAACAAACAATGAAGCATTACAATTAAACTTTGCATAATTTGTTTCAGAAAAATAACAGATTTTACACATAAATTGCCTCCTGTCTCACATTTCTGAAATATCTGTATCAAAATCTAATCAATGTAGGATAATGTTGTTTGGTTGGTTTGTTGTTTAACGCCACTCTCAGCAGTATTCCAGCTCTATGGGGGCGGTCTGGACCAGACAATCCAATGATCAAAAGCATGAGCATCTACACAATGGGCATATCATTGTGTCAACCAAATCAGTGATCCTGACCACCCAATCCCATTAGTCGCCTCTTACAACAAGCCTGGGTTGCTGTAGACCAATTCTAACCCGGTGTAGCAGCCCAGAATACCCCCCCACCAGATTATACCCGGGGTAAACTATAGGCTAGCCCAGTTTATACCCCGGGGGTATATTCTGGACCAGGCCAAAGTATACCCCTCCAGCCCAGACTATACCCCTAAAAAATTATGTTGATAGTTCACTCAATATGAGTGTGTGATTCGGGCAATGGTCTTGGTGTCATTTAAAAGAATTTGTAGGTGCATTTCATTTACATTACTGCATAATACAAAATTTATTAAGTATTTGTTGAGTGCCTCTCTGCAATATGATATTTTCGACTTTGCGTAACCCAGCCATGCTGATATATCAAGGTTAGTAGTTAGTTATTTGCTTTATTTAGCGTTGCACACACAACTTAGGTATTTCGGCAACGGGGTAGTACAACATGAACAGATTAACTACAGGCACACTCTACTCATCAATCTAAATAGAGCTGTACCATTATGGAGGTGGGTGTTGTCTTAATTAATACCCTACTCCACTGTCTAACAACTGGCTGTCTAACTAATGGGAGATAACCGGTGTGAGAAGGGGCTAGTGTGAGTAGGGACTGGTGATGGTGTGAGTAGGGCTGGTATTTATTTATTAATATGAACAAGTGACTCTGGAGACTGATCTCAGTGTCATGGAAATATATTTAAAAGTGCATTTCATTTCGCATCCTATATTGCATTCAACCTTCAACATGGATGACAACCTCTATACCCAGATCTTGAACTTCTACACCAACTCTGATAAGAAGTATCCTCAGCACATCTATGACCTGGATCCTGACACGCGTTTGAATGCGAAGTCACATTTTCGGCAAACTGCAAAGCCATTTCGGGTAGCAAAGGGAATTGTCTTTCGTGGTGAAAGGGAAGTGCTCACCAAAAGTCGCCTACCCAGCATCCTGAAAGCATGCCATGACAACCCAGCTACAGGTGGACACTTTGGCAAAGATAAAACCTTCGGCAAAATATCCTCGCGTTATTATTGGAAAGGCATGAAGAACGACGTGCAAGAATATGTCAACAGATGCAGATGCAGATGCAGAAGTTATGTCAACAGCCAGTCTGTTTAAATGTGACATTTATATTTACAGTGCAGTTGGTCAGTCAATGCATTGGCTGATGTACCCTGCCAGCTTCAGCTTGGAAACTCACACTGATTATGCTTTGTATCTGGAAAATGTATCGGACCATTTCAATGTTGTAACCAGTGTTTAATTGTGTGAGAAGTACAATAAAATTATAGTAGTATCCTTAATCACTTGTTTTCTGTAGGGGTATAATCTGGGCTAGGGGGGTATACTATGGCCTAGTTCAGAATATACCCCGGGGTGTACTAGGCTAGCCCAGAGTATACCTGGGTTATAGTCTGGGCTAGCCCAGTTTAACCCCGGGTATAGTCTGGGACAGGGGTATACTCTGGCCTGTTACACCAGATCTTCACAGGTCTAACCATACTTCACAAACATCAATAATCCTACCAAGCAGCATGTGAAACCATCAGCTCAAGTGGCTTAAGAATATATAATGAGTGTACAGACATTACAGAAGCTACCATACACAAGGTTCATGCTCAAACTTAAAGTGCATTCAGACGGGAATATTTCTAAAATGAAAACATGGCCTTTAGCCTGTTTTCATCATAATTCTATCAGTGAGTAAAGTTTCAGCTTTTTATTCCGGACAAACATCAAGGTTTCCACACAGGCCAAAATGGGTTGTTTAATTTGTGATTTAGAAAATGTTCTTGATGTTTGCAGGATGCCTAGCTATGAGAAGACATGGAAGTCAATGTGATACCATGCCCACCTGAACTGTTTGCTTCTATGTTTTCAAAGTCATCTGCAACAAATATCAGAATTACTAAACAGAAGTCCGAGAAGCCAAATACATCAGAAACACCATTCACATATCTACTGAATGTGTCACATCCTAAAATATGCCATCACAGGAATAGTCTTTTTTCAAAATTGGTTTAGTGCTTCTCTCAACACTAAAACTATGGAGTGAGTACATATTATGTTTATTTCATTGTTCAGCTAATCCTACAGTCAAATGCAGAATGATTAAACTTCATAAATCAATTACTACATCTACCCAAGAAAATGTATGAAAAAAACCAAACTATACCCAAATCAGTATTTTTCATGTTTAATTCATATCATCTTTAATGTACAATCGCTTGACCAAGAAATACCCTTAAACTGGCTAACAGATCTTTTAACCTATTTTAATGAAATATGGGGGAAAAAGTTCACAAAATGTTCATTGTTCAAGTACTTATATCACGATATGGCTGAAATATTGCCGATGTGACGTTAAATATTAACTCACTCACTCAAGTACTTATCATGATTCAAACCAAGAACTATGTAAAACGACCGAGATACTACATATTTTCCCGAGAATATTTGCAGCTAGTTTATCTCGACTGTGTGTCACCCATAGGGGGCCTGAGAATCTAGCATCTTTTTGAGTCAATCAAGTGTCGACAAGCAAGATCTTTGTAATATGGTAGTCTGTGATATCCAATGCAGTGTTACTTGGTTCACATGCTCAGCTTTCCAGGATTGTTTGATTGAGTTTAGTTTTACGCCGCTGTTAGCAATATTCCAGCAACATCACAGCAGGGGACACCAGAAATGGGCTTCACATATTGTACCCATGTGGGGGTTTGAATGCAGGTCTTCAACGTGATGAGTCGACGCTTTAACCACTAGGCTACCCCACCATCCCAAGTTTCCAGAAGGCACTACTAAGAGAGAAATTTAATCAATACATACCCTGTTGCACAGCCTCCATCTCACTCCTCAACAGGGCCTCATGGAACATCCTCATCTCCTCTGCCTCACTCTGGGGCATCAGCTCACTGTAGCCTGAACCATCCACTTCTGGATCCTCTTCAAACTCTTGAGGTTTATATTTCTTTTCTGAAAAAAGAATAATTATGGATGAAAGCCAAAACACCTACAACAATCACTGACACTTAAAACTTTGATGAACAAGAAAAACATGCCAAATCCAAGGTTCATAATTAGGTGAGGTGAGGTGAAATGGGGCTTTAAAGTCGCACTGAAGAATATTTCGCCATATGACGCATGTGCATGTGTATAAAGCGTGTTTATGCCCAGCGGCTGTTTGTAGTTTTATAGTGCTAGCCCACTGAGACACCATGCCCCAGTGAAGCATGAATACCCCACCAGACTGATGCTGGTTTTATAGTGCTAGCTCACTGACATACCATGCCGCAGTTAAGCATGTTGGACATCCCAACCTTCAGTCTTGAGGTGAGGTGAGGTGAAACTTGTGCAAACTGTTCCTAACGTCAGGCTTTTTGAATATTTCTAACCATATGCTTGCTTGCGGTTTGGGTCATGCGTGTATGTATGCACGGGCGGCTGCTTTGTATTGACCTAACCCAACATTTAAGCTGGTTCCCTTAAGTGCTAGCTCTGCACTGTTGAGATACCTTTAATGCCATAAAAGTGAAGCATGTGATTGAAAACATCCACTTGCACAGTTTGAGAGACACATTTGAAGAGATATTTTACAAAAAACGGGTCCACATGACTCATGCCTAACCAGTCCTTGTTGTACATCCATTAGATGCCGAGCAACACAATGTTGGCTTCAGGCAGGGACCAAAAAGTACCATATTTTAATGTCTTTTGGTATGACGCGGTAAGTTGGGATCGAACTGCCGCGACCTTCCTCCAGACACATTATACTCTGACTCAAGGCGGATGCTCTAAATCCACTACACCACGGAGGAGGTCCCTTCAGTCTTTAAAAATCAGATCCTGATTCAACAAATAATGAAAGTCAACGGAGATTGAACAGTAAATATTAGAGTACAATAACAGAATCTGAAGGACTACCATATAGTCTGAATATAACAGAACCACATGCTTAGGGTATCAGGGTTAGAACTTGACTTTTTAAAGCACAAGCAAAAAACTGCTTGTGACTTTTCAAGCTACAACCTAAATGAAATTTCAATAAGCAAAAACATAAAAATAATTCCAAAATCAATAACCTTTATTTTTCACAACCTTAACTAAATGTGTTAAATGATGACACAAGTCAACTGTCCATTCAAAAATTTAAACTTTAAACTAATGCTATCAACATTTTACATGTCTGTCTGAACATGTCTTACTCTCTCTAAATTTTTTAGAGACATTTGTTAATTGATTTTTTTAGAAATAATTTCAGCATTGTAAAATCTTTAATATGATTGTGAAGCTGTTTTAATTCAAAAATTCTGACACCTACTTATCGATGATGTTTGATCAGAAATATTTTCACATTTTTTCTGATTTAAATCAACAAAAACATGGGACGCTTAATACGTCGGCCCTTATTAATAAATTGATCACCATTATGAATTTTTCAACACATTTAGTGTATTAGCGTCCGTTAATTTCAACCCTTGGGTATATTGACATGCTGTTAGCCAAACCAGCAGGAAAACAATTCAAACATGTAGCTTGTGTGATCAGCAAAGTTTGCAGTGAGTCCCCACTGGAGTACCATAACCCTTGTAGTACGTTAGGGAAATACATACTGTGTCTTCCAGACAATTCCTTCCTCTGGCAGGCATCGCAGCACCTGCTCTGCTGGACAAAATAACCTTGTTCTCATGGTAATAAGTTCATCTCACCCAGGCTTGGCACTGTGCTGCTGGCCACACAAAATAACATGTGGAACTACCCAGGTCTAGGTGCTGTCAGTAAACAAAATAACATCTACAAAATGTCTCACCCAGTAGCCACACAAAATAACATCTCAGCCACCAGTAGCCACACAAAATAACATCTCACCCAGTATGCCACACAAAATAACGTCTCACCCAGTAGCCACACAAAATAACATCTAACCCACCCAGTAATGTCCACCCAAAATAACATAACATCTAACCCAGTAGCCACACAAAATAATGTCTCACCCAGTAGCACACACATCCCAAAATAACATCCCACCCAGTAGCACAATAACAAAATAGCCAACACACATCCAGTAAAATAATGTCTCACCCAGTAGCCACACAAAATAACATCCCATCCAGTAGCCACACAAAATAATGTCTCACCCAGTAGCCAGTACACACAAAATAACGCAAAATAATGTCTCACCCAGTAGCCACAATAAAATAACATCTCCACCCAGTAGCCACACAAAATAACATCTCACCCAGTAGTAGCACACAAAAATAACGTCTCAAAAAACATAACCCAAGCCACACAAAATGTCTCACCCAGTAGCTACAAAAATAACATCTAGCCACACAAAATGTCTCACCCAGTAGCCACACAAAATAATGTCTCTCACCCTCATCCAGTAGCCACACAACATAATGTCTCACCCAGTAGCCACACAAAAATAACATCAGTAGCCACCCACCCAGTAGCCACACAAAATAACATCCCAGCCACACAAAATGTCTCACCCAGTAGCCACACAAAATAACAGTCTCACCCAGTAGCCACAGTAGCCACACACAAAATAACAAAAGCCACAACATCCACCCAGGAGCCATTAAAATAATGTCTCAAAATGTACACCACCCAGTAGCCACACAAAAATAATGTCTCACCCAGTAGCCACAAAATAACTACACAAAATAATACCCAGTGTCTCACCCAGTAGCCACACAAAATAGCCACACAAAATAATGTCTCACCCAGTAGCAGTAGGTAGCACAAAATAATGTCTCACAGTAGCCACCACAAATACCCATAGCCACACAAAATAACATCTCTCACCCAGTAGCCACACACAATAGCCACAAATACAACACATCTCACCCAGTAGCACACACACAAAATAACATCATCACCCAGCCACACAAAATAATGTCTCACCCAGTAGCCACACAAAATAACATCCCACCCAGTAATATGCCACACAAAAATAACATCTCACCCAGTAGCCACACAAAATAACATCCACCCTAAGTAGCCACACAAAATAACATCTCACCCAGTAGCCACACAATAACATCTCACCCAATAGCCACACAAAATAACATCTCACCCAATACCCACACAAAATAACATCCCATAACATCTCACCCAATAGCAACATGTCTCACCCAGTAGCCACAAAAATAAATAACATCTACCCACACAAAGCAATAAAAACATCCCACCCAGTAGCCACACAAAATAACATTCATCACCCAATAGCCACACAAAATAACATCTCACCAAAATAATGTCTAATAGCCACAAAATAACATCTCACCCAATAGCCACACAAAATAACATCCCACCCAGTATACACACATCTAGCAACAGCCACACAAAAAATAACATCTCACCCAATAGCCACACAAAATAAACATCTCACCTCAATAGCCACACAAAATAACATCTCACCCAGTAGTCACACTAATAAAATAACATCCATCCAGTAGCCACACAAAATAACATAAAATAACATCTCACCCAATAGCCACACAAAATAATGTCTCACCAGTAGCCACCATGTCTCACCCAGTAGCAACACAAAATAACATCCCACCCAGTAGCAGAACACAAAACAAAATATGTCTCACCCAATAGCCACACAAAATAACATCTCTCAGTAGCCCACAAAATAGCCATCTAATAGCAATAATAAAATAACAAAAATATCTCAATCAATAGCCCCTCTTAGATACTGATTCCTGAGAGTTAGCTACCCTTTTAACATCCACTGACCTCTCTTAGAAGCTTCGACAGTTTCCAGAATATCTGAATGACTCTGAAACAGAAAACGTCTCTCATTGGTCAACACGGGAAACATTTCCCATGCAGTAATCGCACATGTGGAAATTGACCAATGAGAGCTGTTTTCTGTTTTTCGAGTCATTCAGATATTTGCGGAAACTGTCAATGTTTACTGAAGAGAGGCCAGACATTTGTTTAAAGTAGAGGGTAGTGCTAATGCGAGGGTCAGTGGTCAAATATGAAATGCAGTTAGTCAAATTGAATACAATGAGCAGAAAGGTAAAAGAATGACCAACAAGCTCAACAAAAACAATTGTGAAAAACGTAAGGTTTGATTGAACCACACATTAAAAACAGTCGGGCTGTCCGGTTTTCGATCAAGTTTTTAGTATGGGAACTGTCATCCCTTGTGTATTTTATGTAATGACTTTAGCGGTAGAAGTACTTATTTCTCCACTGATTTCATTCAAATTTGAAACATATGTTAATCATAACATATAAAAACAACATATGATTGCAAAAGTCTAGATTTATATTTTTTTTAAATTACTGTCCACACAGTGATTTGAACCCCTCTGTCTGGAGTTATGTCAGGTGCATCACACTGCTACAACTTACGTGTTTGTTGTCCTGTCTGTCCACTGTCAGAAACACCAGTTATACCCGATGCCTGCATATCGGACATCTGAAATTTGATTATAAAGAATTCATCTATTGCCTTTATTTATCAATACAATAAATTGAGCACTTGAGTAAAAAAAGAACTCTTCCAATCTGCAAAGATTTGTTACATAGTACATGAATACTGGCGAGGTACAAAAAATAATACAATCGTTAACTGTTTGTCGACCTTCACCTTACACTGCAAGATGAAAAACTATAGTCACCTTGGCTTATCATTACAATCATGGACGCTGTAAAAGTGTTTTTAGTCTAAAATTTATATGTTAATTTTACACCTTCAAGATGATGCCATTTATCTTTGCGAGAAACAATTACTCCAGCAGGAAGTATGAAAGTGGGCAAAACTTACATCCTTTGTCATGAAGCTGAAATAAAAAGACATTAACAATAATTACTATAAAGACGTAAGAGGTTGCAGTAAAGGCCACAGTTACACAGACATGGAAAATACCTTAACTGACAAGGCTGTTGATTAACAGAGTAACATTTATAAGAATCATACACATGGACATTTGGATCATGATAGCTGACCTTGCAGATTTGCATAGACATTCGGATCATGATAGCTGACCTTGCTGATTTGCATAGACATGAATTTATTATGCTTCGTTTCATATGATTAACCTGTTGATATCGTACTAGAAAGCTGCCATGCACATTCTCTTCTCACACCAGTTCAAAACAAAAGTATTTGTCAACTTACTGCTTGTCCTTTCCTCCATCCTTTCCACTATCGATGCCATCAATCTCAATGTCATCATCCAGGTCGTCATCCACATCCTCCATCACTGCCGATACCTCATCATCAGCATCTACATCTGTCTGCAAAGACTCAGAATCATTTCCTGCTATCTCTGAATCAGCAACACTTCTGTTGCAATCCTGTCCACCAGGAGTACTCTCCCTTTCCTTCTCCTGTCTCACAGCCCTTCTCTGAGCTTCCTTCTCCTCTTGTTCTTTCTGCTTCTTCTTAAATTCAGCAGCAATCAATTCCATCTCCTGCAAAATATTCACAACACATACCAGCATTACACTAGTTATCTGAAGTAAAGATCATTCAGGGGATGTTTCCACTGTAATATGTAGCCAGTGTGTTCCCATGGAAACAGCATTGTTTTGTGACAACTTTACCATGTTCTGTGTGAAGGTTGAAGTCTCTCAAAACTTGTAAAAATAATAGATAGATATCAGAAATATAGAGCAAAAAGTACCATATTGCAAAGCTGAGTCATTAGGGATTATATTAAAAGTTTAAAACTATTTAATTGTTGTCAAACCTTTTCACGTTGTTTCTGTTCTGCTTTAAGTTTCTTCTTGCTTTTCTTGCCATGGGTGTTCTGGGAAGGAGTCCCTGCTGATGCCTCAGAAGTGTTATGGCTGCCCTGTTTCACATCAATCTTGACCTTCTCAGTTTCTGTCAGCTTGTTCTTGTCCAGGCGGCCATTGCTGTGTGTCTCGACTTTCTCTGCAGCAGACACTTCAGGGGCACAGCTGCCATGGGCATTGGAATTCTTATCAAATGAAGTAGAATTGTTTGTTTCAAAGACATTGGTGAAATTGTTTGGTGCTGAAGTTCTTGAGTCAGTTTTGCCTACAGTCTGCTTGGACGTCTGTTGCATATCTGATGCATTGTGGGTTGATTTTGACTTTGCTTGAGAGGCAGCTTGTGATTCTATGGAGGAACAATACATGGTATATTCTGAAATTGTTCACGAGAATAAGGGGAATCGTGAATTACTTTCCATCTGACCCAACTATATCATTTAGAAATCTATTGGTGGATGTAAAACAAAGCTGTAGATAATTATGCAGGGATTTACATGGACTCCTGAATTTGAAGGTCCCTGGGACTCATACTCTTAATTTTCAGGGGTCCTGGACAACAAAATGGGGGTTCCAGACACTTAAATATTATTAATAATACTGTTATTGTCTTGTGTATCATGATCATCACATTGTTGCAGTAATTAAATTGCAAATATACCATAACCCAGCTAGTAGCAAACTCAGTGATAACTTATTGTCACTTGATTGGAATTCTTACAAAAAGTATTTGGACTTTTCCTGAGAACCTGTGAACGCGCTAATAAATTTGGTTGCGTCCATTGACATTTTTACGAGTATAGGACGCAGGAATTCGTGTCCTGTAAATCCCTGATTATAACTTAGACTTAGAGTGAATAAGTAAGTGAAGATGACAGTTTAAGTATATAAACTCAGTTGAAAAGTAAAAAAAACCGAAAGATAATAATTGGAGAGGTTTCAATGACTATTTACTAAACCAATTAGAGACTTGAGGTATCGTTTTCCAAAACAACAGGAATATAACACCAGTGATGGTTACAGTACCTACATCAACAGATCAAATCATAACGCAACGTGTACAATAACTGCCTAGTTACATCTTACCCAAGAAGTTATATATCAATGATTATCTATCAAATGAGGTGAGGTGAAATGGGGTTTAACGCTGTACTTAAGAATATTTCGCTCATATGACGACGTGCATGCACTTACGCTGGTTTTGTAGTGCTAGCTCACTGACATACCATGCCGCAGTGAAGCATGAATACCCCACTCAGACACAGTATACTGACTCCAAGCCGACCAGTCCTTGTTGTACCCATTAATGCCGAGCGCCAGGCAGGGACCAACAAGTATCATATTTTAACGTCTTTTGGTATGACGTGGCCGGGGATCGAACCCGCGATCTTACATCCTAACCACTACACTACGGAGGCGGTATTATCTATCAAATGAAATCAGTGACCTTAAATACTAATCTCCCCAAAAGATGGTACACCAGAATAGCATAAAGATACTGTTGCTTACGTTTGCCCATCTTTGCAGCTTTTCGTCGTTCCTTCGCTTTTTTCTTTTTCTCCTTTTTTCTTTTCTTCCTTAGTTGGACCAGGAACATATGTTGGTTGCCTTGGGAAGGCATAAGTTTCATATTCACTGTCATCGTCTTCATCAGAGTCATCATAAAATCCGGGGAAATATGGTTCCTCATAATAATTACCTCTGAAATGGTGTCCGTGGTGATAGGAATAACCTCCATGATGAAAGTGTTCGAAAAAAGGATTCCCAAATGGATTTGCAAAAGGATTGAATGCTGCAAATACATGTAAACATATAATCCATCAAAGTGACCCTGTGAAAAGTAACAATGTGTAAAATGAGTAGGGTAAAATGTTACTATTTCGCCAAACTGCTATGAATATTGAGATGTGAGAAATCTCCAAAACACATCTGAAAGATGACACACACAGAAAAGGTGCAGTGAATACTCAACTTGTATGTATTTCCAGCTACGTAAATTCAGCCATGAGCATAAGCCGACTGTTATCACTTAATATGCAGTTAGATATGAAAATAAAGGTGACAAAAGTCTTTCCATAACTATAAGAAATCTCTGCATACAATACAGTCAATATTACAACTCCAACCATATCATGAACCATATGCCACAAGCTTCAAATTACTGCTACACATGATGTGTTTAGGTAAGGCACCTACCTCCACTCAACCAGGGGAAGAGCCGCATGAAAACCTCAAACTGAAAAAATAGATACATATTTAACATACAAGTATTTAAAACACTTACATAAATCTAACACAACATAGACAATCAGATTCATAAGATGCAGATATGGGTGGGCATCCAGTACATACATATGTTCAAAATGGATACACAGCACAATTATGATCATTGAACCAAATTCTTGGGACAGGTTCTGTACTCAAAATAATTGAAACAAGTGTTTGCCACTGATATGGCAATGTCCCCCGCCGCTAAAGAATGGAATATCTATATTTACTACTTTTTATTTTTGGGTCACATACAAGATGCCTGAAATGACTGGTGTCTGCATAATCACCCAATGTAGGCTGTCAACATACTTGAAACACTGGGTGCAATGTTTTATGAGATATCCGCTTTAAAAAGCGGTCAAAGTATCGTGGTGACCTTGAAGGGATAAGGTCAAGGTTACCCAAATCGACTGGTGTCTGCGTAATCCCCCAATGTAGGCTGACACCAAATTTGAAGACATTGGGTACAACAGTTCATGAGATATCATGTTAACAACAGTTTGAAAAGTGGTCAGTGTCGTGGTGACCTTGAAAATAAGGTCAAGGTTACCCAAATAAACTGGTGTCTGCGTAATCCCCTAATGTAGGCTGTCACCAAATTTGAAGACATTGGGTACAACAGTTCATGAGATATCGCGTGAACAAGAGTTGGAAAAGTGGTCAAAGTGTTGTGGTGACCTTGAAAATAAGGTCACGGTCACGCAAATCGACTGGTGTCTGCGTAATCCCCCAATGTAGGCTGACACCAAATTTGAAGACATTGGGTACAACAGTTCATGAGATATTGCGTGAACAAGAGTTGGAAAAGTGGTCAAAGTGTCGTGGTGACCTTGAAAATAAGGTCAAGGTCACACGAATCGACTGGTGTCTGCGTAATCCCCCAATGTAGGCTGACACCAAATTTGAAGACATTGGGTACAACAGTTCATGAAATATCGCGTTAACAAGAATCGGGACGTACGTACGTACGGACGCTGCTGAATACATAGTCCCCCGTTCCGCGCTTAGGCGGGGACAATTACAAATCAAACCTTACAGAGCAGTCAGAACACAATACCATTTCATTACCTTACCTTACCGAAACCCTCTGATATGTTAGGGACCCTATTATACGTTTCGTAGCTTTCTGTATATTGGGGCATTATCTTAAACTAGATATTTGGTTACTCTCCCTGTTTGCTCCAAGGATATTGAAGACCTCTATCACCATTCCTCGACATTCAAATAGACCTTAATCAGTATCCAGGGAATCTAACAACTCTTAACAAAACCATCAAGACCACCCTCAACCTCAAACCTCCACTTAGCACCATTCATCATCAGCATACCATTTGTCGATACAACCAGCCATGATATCCAGAGACTATTAAAGAAGCAAGCCAACATAGATGTTGTGTTCCAGAGAAGCACATCAATTTAGCATATTCTACAAGTCAATGGTAAACCAGCTACAAGCAACAAAAAAGACCCTTCAGGCGTTGTCTAGTACATTCAATGCAGATGTGGTGACCCGTATGTAGGTGAAACATCCTGTCCCTAAACATGAGAATCAAGGAACATCAGACATCTGCGAAGAAAACATACTCCAAATTTCAGCCATTTCGGACCACACCCAATCCCATCTAAATCATACCATTCTTTGAAACAACATCAACATCCTTGAAGCCAACCGGTCAGACTACAAGATAAGAAAACTCTTAGAGGCAGTCAACATCAAACGACTCAACCTGACAATCACTTGCTTGATAATGGTGTTAGCATCTACATCGAAAAGTAATAAAGAAGCTGTCTATCCACAAGTGTCCCTCTTCATCCTCATACCAGTTTCAAAATGCCATGCAACAAAGCACAACAACATCAGAGAGAGTACTCAACCACATGTGTGAAACTTCGCATGCTCAGAGGCCATTATTTCAATATAGATATGTCAAGTTAGTCAAGTTATCTATTTCCAGGCCAAACGCCATTATGACAGTAATGACAAAGTCGATATCAAGGAATTCCTGAACTGAAACAATAAGTGCTAGCACTAATTTATTTTCAAACATTTGACTGTGTAGTAAACGTTTTAAATACTTAGATACAGGAATGAATATTCTAAGTGGTAGAAAGGTATCAGACAGCTGCCATCATTCCTAACCATGCAAACAAATTGTGTATACCACTGTATTTATCTTTTTATCAAAACACGATGCAAGATTGACAGCGGACAATCTCAGTTTTCTGTTGTATACACACATGGGCAATCTGCTTAGAATGTCTATGTTTATTTAATTGGTTGGTTGGTTTGTTGTTTAATGCCACACTCAGCAATATTCCATCAATTTGGCTCAGTCTGTAATCGAGTCTGGACCACACAATCCAGTGATCAACAGCATGACCATCGATCTACACAATTGGGACATGGTGACATTGTGTTAACAAAGTCGGTGAGCCTAACAACTTGATCCCATTAGTCGCCTCTTACGACAAGCATGGGTTGCTGAAGACCAGTTCTAACATGTATCTCCACAGGTATTCTACATTTAAAATGCTTTTGACAGATGGCTGATATATTTAATTACAATCACATGCTTTCAAATTTCATAAATTGTTCTTTCTAAAAGGCAGAAACAATACAAATATAATGTTGGTAGTCACTCAACTCTCTCGCTTGACAAATGTATGCTACAAAGGTAGAAGAAATAAAATTGTTTTGGGTTTTGACACTAAATTTTCCACATGAAACATGAGCTGACTAAGAAATAAGACTGCTTTATCCTCATCTCTTGCCTGAACAGAATGTCATGGAAATTGTTTACTTACAGGAATTCCATCTTCTTCTTCATCAGCTCCCACAGTCTGTGGACCTGTGGAAACAGACACCTGTGATTACTTTGGCGACCACAATCAAATTGCTAAAAAATAAATGTTCAAACTGGACAAGCTTGAAGCATCCAACTTACAGGTTACAGGTTTGTGTAGAGCACAATAGATCAAGACATTATTGGGATGTATCTGGATTTTAAACTAACTACCCAAGGAAAATAGAAAGTTAAAAATTCAGACTTCTAGTAAGGTTCTTACTTTCAAACATTCAGAGCTATTTCAACATTGAATTTAATACAATAATCAATAATGTTACACCATCTCAGACCAGCATACCTATAGAATATGAGGTTGGGTGAAAGGCTCTTGAATGTCATGTTCAGAATTACTGCACTTATAGAGCAATGTGCATACACATGTAGGTTTAACCATGGCTACCCCACGCGATAAAAGAAGAACTGGATGTCTTTGAGTCAGCATGTCTTTCTCCTTAACACCAAGTGCAAGGCCAGATTACAGCAAGTACCATCTGAATACCGTATGTAACCGTAGATAAGCCGACCCCCAAATTTGACCCTTAAAATCAGTGTCAAAATGGTATGTTTCGGACATAAGCCGATCTCCGCGATGGGGTCCTAATCGTGGTAAACACAGACCACAGACAACTGTCAGTTAATAATTGAAAATTTTACTATATATTGTATATTTATATACTTATCCTATCGCACGGTATGCACCTCTCTTCTTCTTCTACGACCATGTGTGGAAACATGTCGTAGGCTAAGTTAAATCAAATCTTACTGGCCTCTGACCCCCCTGACCTCTGACCCCACTCCGATATCAGCACCTGTTAATCATCTTCATAAGCGTGCAGCTCGCTCAGATGATCACGTGACTACCTGTGCCTGTCATTCTCGTCTTGGAGCTTCCAGTAATCTCTGATGTGGGGCAGGTCGGGTGGGTATCCATCGCGTGAGATAGGATAAGTTAAAAAAAATGAAAATTTTACTATAAATTGTATCTTTATATACTTATCCTATCTCACGGTATGCATAATCCTACGGTTGGTAGGAGGGCCGCAGATTACCCTGTCAATACATACAACTGTGAAGACGCATAACCCAAGGAGGCCAGGAGAAAGCACCAACTCCAGATATGCAAACTCCAAACTTGTGATGGGTTTCTTCAGGTAACCCCTTGGCTTACACAGCACAAAAACTCTAGGGAGTGGGCGCTCCCGAATTAATGTGGTTTTCAGCCACAACTTTTGACAAACAAAAAGGACGCAGTTTGGCAAGTAGGCCCTGCCGCCCCGCGATTTATCAGGTGACCCCAGTGAATTAAAGTCGAAAACCTTAATCTGGCCAGTCCCTGCTTCGAAACTACCCCCCACAGACACACGCTGGAAGGCGGTGAAAGAGGGAATAGCCCAGTTGCTCAACTAGTTTAACGTTCAGTACCAATCCCCCTAACTTACCAAAGGTGAGAATGGACTTAGGAGTGGAACGCTTCAAAAACCATGTAGGTAATCGGAAATCAACACTTCACTGACATAATTGCCCAAAGAGTAGAGGTCAGTAAGCGGAATGTCGACCATCTCTGCATGTAGCACAAGACAGGCCTCACAGTCTATCCAGTCATATTTATGACAGTGCAAACATGCCCTAGTCCCCTAGGTGAGAATGATCTAAGCCCAAATGAAAAAAGTACCAAGACATGGATTACATCGATATCTTTTATTATGTACAGAGCAAAACCGACCAAAGAAGGATTGCTTTATCTGAGCGAACGCGGGCCGATGACAATTGCTGCGCCAGGACCAGGGGGCCGAATTGATGTAGACCTTCCACGTCTGTAACCGAGAGATCCCTCAAGTAGTGTGAGGCGAACACAGTATCTGATTTCCAAAACCATCCCTCCATGACGGACTGGAGGGAACAATTCCTGTGAAGCGTCATGGTGGAAGCGAGAGCCAGAGTCTCATGAGGCTTCGCCGTCGACGGTGGAGACAGGTCAGCAAAGGCATAAGCACGCAGGATCATAGTTCTCATCCACAACACCAAGGTAGTGCGTGAGACTTCCGAGAGGCGGAGGCAGTAGATAATGGAATGAACAATCTCTTACGCAGTCTGCGGCGATCCTGTGAGGCAGCTAGATAAATCCGTAATGCACGCATCGGGCATAAGGACAGATCCTCAGTGTCATCTGGGCCCAAGATAGTGGACAACGGCGGAATCGTGAATGTGCGATCTGGCTGTCCTTGTAACTGATCCTAAGCGAGAAAATCCCACTGCAAACCAGGGAAAACTCTAGCATGTCTAGACCTCTCAAATCGTACCAGAGAGACATTGAGAGCGTGCAAATCGGAAATACGGGCAGCAGTGGCCAAGGCCAGGAGAAAGAAAGTCTTAAAGGAGACATGTTCCGAAATCTTTCTCCTCCAGAGGTTCATAATCAGCTGACGTGAGATGAGCAAGCACAACGGAAAGATCCCAAGCTGGAGGCCAAAACTTCCGGGATTGGTCAGCAAGTTTATAAGACCTGAGGAGAGACTGGAGTTCAGGGACAGTGGACACCTTCACACCCGAGGCCGACGCAATAACCGTGTTAAGGGCAGCCAGGTAAGTAGATAGCGTAGAACCTTTGAGTTTTCTGGAGGTTCGAAGATGCTGAAGGTACTCTGCTACCATCTGCGGGGATGCCGTAGTAGGAAATGTTGTGCCCTTCTTCCTGCAATACGCTTCAAAATTCTTCCACTTGTCATCGTAGAGTGACCTAGTGGAGGTGCGATGCGCTGTAGTGATGTCAGTAGCAACACGCTTCGAATAGCCCTTGGCTGTTTGTGACCAATGTAAATGCGTCAAGCGTGAAGATGGAGCGTGAGCGAGGACCAATGAAGCTGGTCGCAGTGCGGATGAACCAGAAGATCGAACCGATCAGGAAGTGGTACGGGATTTGGTTCGGCTAGTTCTTGAAGATTTACAAACCAACTGCTGGCCGGCCAGTAGGGTGCGACCAAAAGTAGTGTCATCCCCTGAGTTGCGCGCAGTTTCACTAGTATGCGAGGAAGAAGGGCCACTGGCGGAAACGCGTAAGCGTTCAGGTCGTCGAATGATTGAAAAGCGCGTTCAGGTCGTCCCACGGAATGGCTAGAGCATCGTGATCCCAAGCCAGAGGGTCCAGAATCGGTGACACAAACAGAGGCAGCTGATGGTTGAACCGAGAGGTGAATAGATCCACTGCCGGCGGCGTCAACGGAAGGCAGAAGGTCTGAAACACCTGAGGATGTTGTGGATCGAAGAACAGCCGTTTGTTGAGCGGGATATACGTTCTGTGATCCGGAAGCAAAGTCGGAGGAGGAAAGCTGAAACCCCTTGGACAACGTGGAGAGGACGTAAGGGTCGCCCAAGATGGTCCAGTCGGGAGCATAAGTCCCAAATCTTCCGCCTACTGGGGAGGTCTGGATGGGCATGACTGGAGGAGGAAGAAGCAAGTCGCACTCTAATGTCAGCAAGTCACTGTTTGTCAGGTCTTTGAGAGGAGGACTGGTCGGAAGTGGAAGCTGGTCGTGAAGCAGTGAATGCCCGACGCTGACGACTGGAACGTCCTCTGCCGGAACCCTTTCCACGAAGGAAGCAGCAGAACCCGAAGCCAACTGATCCAAAATGGTCTGAAATTGTTCATGTAACAGCACCATCGCCGCCCGAATATATGCCTGTTGATGGGATGTAGCATGTGCCACCGACATAGCCACCACCTCAGTTGTCGTCAACATCATGTTGAGTGGCGCCATAATCTTCCTTATGACACTATCCAAATGCAAGAGCTCACGATCCTCGACCATGAACAGCGAGTAGGCTTTCTGTTTGGTTCCCAACAACATAATATCATCATCCACCAGAGGGGGAGACGATCAGCGTAGAGAAACCATGAACATGAGCAGATGCTAAATTGAAGTGGGGAGCCGCGAACCCATCCTTAACCTTCCTCAGGTTTCCAAACGCCTCATCCAGAGACGCTGTCAATTGAGTGATGCAAGGGCGAGGTAAGAATCAGACGCCTCCCCTAGGAAATGTTCATTAGGAGACAGGGACTTCGAACATCGAACTGCAGTTTTCTTATGGCGTTCTGCCTTAGGTTTAGACGCAGACAGACCCTCAGATGTTTGCGACGATCCCTATCTGACATGCGTCTACAAGCTACCTGGCGATATTCAGAGAACGCATCGTCATCGAGGCCAGCACAAAAAGTGCATGTGGTTTCGCCGCCGAGAAATTACTGTTACAATTGTCACAATGTTCGCGCTTCTTAGAACCATTACGATTCAATTTACCCATATTGAAACAACAATCAAACTTTCTTAGAGACAAGCACACTTCCACACGACGTAGCGACAAGAAAGAGAATGACAGGCACAGGTAGTCACGTGATCATCTGAGCGAGCTGCACGCTTATGAAGATGATTGACAGGTGCTGATATCGGAGTGGGGTCAGAGGTCAGGGGGGTCAGAGGCCAGTAAGATTTGATTCAACTTAGCCTACGACACGTTTCCACACATGGTCGTAGTAGAAGAAGAGAGGTGCATACCGTGAGATAGGATAAGTTTTTAAATTTATAACTTTGTTCCACATTATTCAAAGAATTCACAATCATATTGCGTTTACTCACGCATCGAAATGAAGTGTAGTTGACAGAAAATGGATAATATATTTTGTTTCGCTAAATATCATACTTATTGTAGCTGGCTTGCTTATTTTACCCCATTCCATGTGCGTACAACTTCCGCTTACCACGTTCATGAGGGTCCGTATAACCTTAGTGTTGATTATACATATTTTACATTTATAGAGCAAAAACTGTAATTAAAATTACACAATGTTAGGATATACCTTTTTGGGTTAAATAATAGTATTCTGTATTATATTTTACTGATGACTGTTGTTGTCATCCATAAAGTTGTATGTTTCATTTGTTGACTCATCAACTTCTAGAATGCCGATCAAACAATTAGGTTTGAAGTTGATCGCCGGGAAAC